AAATTCGTTCCGATATAGTTAGGATAATAACATCCGGGGCCCCACCCCTGATGACTTCTGCTTTTTTTTCCAGGTAAATGTTGTGTCCCTCATAGAACTCGAAGTGAAGGTTACCAGTACGTGGCTCAATGTATCAAGGGTATGGTGCGCGCGCAGTCGCGCCATCGCCACGAACTTTCGAATGCCCTCTACCACAACGGAGAAACTAATCATCGTCGCATACAATTTCCTAATATGACACTTGTTATTGGAAGAAAAGACTGACACGCATACACAAAAAATTTTACATCAAAAAAATCCACCACGCCTTGATGTAAGGAATCTGATACGTCGCTCTAGCTTATTCGGAAAGGGACGTGATGCCGCAAATGGTTCCCGCTGCGCGGTCAACTAGTAACATAGTGTGATTAGGTACATGGTCCCCTCCCTAGCGTTTTTAGTCCCTCCCCCTTGTCTCCCTAGTTTTCGTAAACTTCAAGATTAGGAAGTCCAGTGGAGTAACTAAGCAGTTATTTCTATAGAAAAGAAAGTTTTTTGAAGTATTCAAATATCAAAAGTCAAAGTAGAACGTCTATTTTCCCTTCCATCATATTTGGCTTCGCCGCCATCAATAGTAATGGAGCCAAAATATAAAAGAATATCGATTTTTCGATTTTTTGAGCTTTAAGTGCTCAAAAAATCGAAAAAAAAGTTTTCTCGTTCAAAAAAGTCCTGCGGATCTCCCATCCCGGAGCTTTTTCACGTTCGGGTCGCGAAATTTTCCGAAAGTCACATGAGTTGTGAAAATGTACAACGTGTTCATACTTTTAAATGCTTAGAATAATTTTCGAAACTTTCTGAAAAAATCAAACTAGCCTTGTAAAACATTTTTTGGGGACCTTGCTGCTTTTTTTCTGAAAATCCGGGGTCCTGGGACCATCAATGGTAAATGCCAGAAATCTTTGCAAGTTTGAGCATCACTAATTTGCTTTCATTTAGCTCCCTCTATTGAGTTTTTTGATCAAAATTGGCATCATGTAGACTAGGGAATGAGCATAGGTACGCATAAACTGTTCGATTCTGTTAACAATATTGAGAAAAATCTATGCATTTTCTCATGTTCGGTCAAAATCGAGATTTGTTTAGCAAAAAGGAGCCGCGCACAACCTGAATGGAAAAAACCTAGACAAAATTGTAAGGAAAGCGTAGCTAGAGGTTTACTACTGAAAAAGATTGCAAGAAATTAAAGAATAGAGTCAAATCTTAAGCTGCTCCGGAGATCCGTTAGTGTCGAGAGTCGAATTGTCAGATTCTGTAGAGACAGTAGTGCAGTGAGTTGATACGACTGCTCAACACGTATAACTGATAATACTTTGTTGCCAAAATGAAAAAGCATCGTATTTTTGTAGGCTTACAAAAACAACTAACAAGCGAGATAAAAATCGTGCTAATTGGCATGTCGAATAATTCGCTTAAAGCAAATTTTATTTCTATTTATATTTATTTATTCAAATTATTAGCTTCTATTCAAATTTGTGGCAACTTAACTTTCGTTTTCTCACACATTGCTCTCTTTATAATACAGTAACTTTTGTATGCGATAGCAGAACTTGGCGGACAACGCTTGCATTTGTAGCACAAATCTTATTATAAAGGTAAAAAATGGGACCACAAAAAAACCTATGGAATAGGTTGCCCTAAGTGCCAACCCAATATTCTCATCATTTACAACAACAAAAAAACAGATCGCGTTAAAAGAAAATGCCAGCTGATTCCACAACTCCTTAAGCTGCACAACCTCGACAGCTTTTCGGGAAGAGAAGATTCGTTCTTCATTACTGGTGCGGAAATGCATTTTTATTCAAATATTATCTTCGTTACTCAGAAAATGCACAGGATCAGATTCCAGGATCTTCTTTTGTAAAAAGATGATCGCCATGCAAATTCTTAAATTTTCGAAGGTGCTTACTGTATGCGAAGCAACGTTTTAATAATAGGGCATCTTTTTTGCGAGATGCTTGGTCAAATTAATGCATCTGATTTGCGGGGTTTTTTCCGCGATTACATTATTGCCACGTATAGCATAGCGTCAGACAGTTCAAATAAGCAGCGAATGTAAAATGTAAATCTTTTGACTTTGAATTTCTATGTCAAGGCCCCATCAAGATTCTATCAGCCTTGCGCCATGCAAGTAAAAAAAAATTTCATATGCGATCATATTAAGAATACACCACATGCGGCACTTGTATACATATTATGAGACTTTTCAGTCACAAGCGCTTCTTTTGCCAGTTGCTTTGGCTGCATTTTTTAGTAAAGCTCAACTCTGCTAAAATTCAAGAAAACGTTATCTTGTTGTTAGTGATTGCATAATGTGAAGCGACAAGTATCATTAGCTAGCATGATAATTGTTTTAGAGTGTTCTTTGACCAAGTAATGGCAACAATATATTTGGCTCAACACTGCATTAGCTAGAAAGGAGATATTAAGAGAGAAGAAGGAAGGTTGCCCGAAAGTTCTGTTTTGACCGTTGGTACAATTATCTTAATTTGGAATCCTATACAAGTTTTCTTGAAATCAGCGTTTTTGGACGATTTTAGATTTGAATTTTGATTTAAGCAGTTTTTGGCCATCATAGAGATACCCAGATGTACATGGAACTTGGATGCGGGAGAAGCGAGAATTTTGAAATTTTGCAAGATTTTTTAAGACCCTAGGCGGCTAAGTTGGCAGACATGTTTGACTATTCCATTGAATAGCTTAAGTACCGAAAAAGAAACGATATGCTAAAGCATATCCATGTATTCTTTCTGTTAAAGATATCCTTATGGACGGAAAAAGCCATTCCGACCCCCATGCTTTCGAATATTGGCTGATGGTCCCCGCCTGCACTGGTTTCCATTGCCTAGAACGTCGAGTTGTTCCTTCACGAAATAAGAAAATGTCTTTGCGAAAAATACTTTATACGAGCAATGTCCTTATGTACAAATCGATTATCAGGCCCCAGACATGCAAAACTTTCAGGCTAAAAACAGTTCTCTATTTGTGAGAAATTAGAAAAGCATCCAATACGACTAGCTGAGGTAGCTTTGAATCCGATTTAAAAAACCTTTTCTGATCCTAAGTCGCACACAGGAAGGCCAAAATTGCACCATTTTTCAGTTTTTGCCGCCTCTCAACCAGAAAAATCAGAAATTCTCTTCGAATTGATTTTCAAAATTCCATACTTAGCTGTATTGAAGCCCAAGGCTTGCTCTACTTTCGTACGCAAGTGAAAAGCAAGAAAAAAGGTCATTAAGAAATGTTTTATAAATTCTCATAGTAATGCTTGCGTACACAGTACACTGCGGTCGGCGAGAGAAATTTGGATTTTTTTGAGAAATAAAGCATTTAAAATTCTAGATTTGACTATTGACTACCAAACTATTATCAACTATTATCTAACTACCATTAGGATAATGATGGTTGATGAAAAGGAACGCATACTCGATCCGTCCTCAAGCCCGTCTAGTAACCTTTGCACCCAAGGAAAGCACAACAGGATACGTTCGAAAATTGTAGTTAACATTTAATTCAGAAGTATCCAGTTTTCTCGAAGCCTCGGGCATCCCTACACCTAATCCGATCTGCCAACCTGCAAATTTTTTGTTCATACTTAGCCTCTTTCCAAAGCACAATAATTCAAGATGTCATTGTATAAGTCACTAGCTGATTTTCTAGGTCCAACCCGGGTCATCATTAAGGAGGATGGAAGAAAACCGCGATTTGTTTCCTCCTTTCCGTCTTTTCCGTTCGCTTCAGCCTCTCCATGTGAAACTATGCATTTCCACTGTCTTTTGCTCCCTTTCTGCTGTCTCTACCGCACTCGAAGCCCACCCTTTTTCTGTCTACAGAGCTTAGTTCAAGACGCTTCTTGTTTCAAGAGAGCACATTTTCTTCACCGGGAAATGAAAATGAGCTTTACTGCCATTGTTTACATCAAGATGTGCAGCAGGTTTGATAGCGTTTAATAAAACTTCGTTTTGATTCCTAGTTGCCAAAAGTCGCTAAACTGATACAGAAAAGAACCCAACGAATCGCTTCAGAAAGTAGTCAAAATCGTCTCCGAAGTCGAAAACATCTGTGTTCGACTTCTAGCTCAATTGGTTGAGTGGCGCGCGTTTCTGTAGCGCACATACCCTTCAAACGAACAATTTTTGAGTAATATATATACAGATATATGTAATTTCACGCTCCTACATCACTTTCAACCCCCCCCCCCTCTTCCACATCTAACTCTACCTCTTCCCTGGTAGACTTCCCCACGTGTCATATCAGCCTCATTCTCTTTAAGAGCAACAAATTTACATTTGTTGAGTACAAACTCAAGAATTCGAACTCGTGCAACAAGATAATCAGGCGCCAGTTGGGGTGGCAAGAAGATTACAGAAACATAGTTTTTTCCTTTCCTTACATAATTTTTTGAGCTTTTTTGCATAGCTATCTCTATACCTTGAATTCATAGAAAATTTTCAATTGCCTCGGCTCTGCTTTCCACTTAGTTACAGCCTTCGAATTTCAAATGATAGCGACATCCTGTATCGCATGCGATGGTGCATTGCTAACATCAGTAATTCTGTTCATTTCAGCGTTCATTTTGTGTTCTTCTGTCTTTCTTCTTATATTCTTTTCTTTCACGCTTTCTCTTTATACTTGTCGTACTTTTTCGCGAAGTCAGGGTGTTTTCGAAAATTTTCTGAGGCCACCTCGTCAAGCCCTATTATGTTGAAAATTTAGGCCTGACGAGAAAAACAATGTAGTGAGACAAGTAGAGCAGAACTAAATTGGCTTGGCTGGCCAAACCCATCAAATGTTCCCATTTGCATTCGCCCAAAGTGGGTTATAGAGTACAACAACTTGTCCACATGATTTTGCAAGAAAGACATATAACGAATGATATTAGCATATTTACGCTGTCAATCACGTGCTTCTTCTTTGGAATTTATTCTCAAAAAATTCATTAAAAGAAAACCGCTATTTCAGAGTTGAACTAATCGATGCGGTTTGCGCTCGTTTTCGCCCTCGTCTATCCGTTGTACGGTACGTAGTTGAACTAAATGAGCAATTTTCACTAATTTTCCCTAATATCACATCAGTACATCATCCTATTATTTGTATGCCAATTTTCTTGTAATTTACAAATTCAGCGAAGACACGGAGGAGACCAAATAACATCATAAATGTAACGGAAGCTGACTGCAGACTACCGGCTGACTTGGGAGATGTGCACTGCCATCGAAATCCTGAACTTAAGGAGAGGTTTTTCAATATCTTGATTGGAAAAAAAAGTCAAGATTTTAGTATTTCTTTGATGTGGAGACAAAAACGTGTTTTCCTTTCAAGTACACTGGATGCGGCGGGAACAAAAACAACTTTGCTAGAAAAAGCCAATGTTATTTGGCGTGCAGAAGTAGGGTCTTCTCCATTTTCTTCAGGAAGGATCTTATTTAACGGGTGTTTCACAACATCATAAATGCGAATGTTCTAAAAGTCATCTTCAAAGCAATGTGCCCTCACCTTGTTTTGAGCGGTCTTAAGTTCACTGAGCATTATATGCCACCAACCAGTTTACCGTGCGAGTCGGACTAGCAGAATGCTAAGAAAACTTATAATTGTGCATCTAACTTTCACCTTACATGTTTCAATTGCTTCGGCCTGTATATAGCCAGGGTTGAACAAGAGGCCAGGCACAACCACGGCCCGGCAAGCGTTGGTTTGGAGCATTTTTGGAAACGAAGTTCCCATGACTTCGCGAAGATTAACGATGTCCCTCTTGACGTAAAAATCAGTAGGGAAACCCTTATTTAATCAAAATAACAATAAAAAAGCGAAAAAAGCACATTTTGGGATATCTAATATGACAAAAAAGCAAAAAGAAAACAACTCGGGTTGATTGAAAGCTCTGTCATTAGGTACGGTACCGTATTAGTACTCAGAATGTCGAAAACCTCCTAGACCGACCAAATCTGTGGCCTCAACAATCTGACGATGCATTTCTCGTCACATGGTTCAAAGGACACCGCATATGATTGAAGCACGATATCTATCAACGCCTAGATTTACACTACTTTTGGAAAAAAAGAGGAGAGGCAATGGTTTGATTCGCTATCTTCACTACATGATAATGTTTTACCGTTCTAATCGTATAAATCAAAAAGGTCCAAAACTTATGTGAACTCTCCGATATTTATGCGTTTTGGTGTTGGTCTGGAAACCTACAAATTCGGGAAGAGATATTAAGACATATAAGTTTTTGAAACTTATTACATAACATACATAGTTTGAAGTAATATTGTATACACATAGCCCAAATTCGGAGCCATTGATTTTTTGTGCGCTGTAAACAATCCATGTTTGTTTGAGTCTTGCGTTTGAATTTCGCGCGCTTGCGAAAAAGCGCGTCCAACTCGTAAAACCTAACATGTTCGGCGTTTTTTGGCGCTTCCTCCAGGACCTTACAAAAACGATATCCCCGTTGCCTCTTACTCCAAAAAACGAAGTCCAATTTGACCCTGAACCATCTGTGCCGGGCCCTGACTACAACGGCCGCAGCGGCTGAAGCCTAAAGGTGGAGAGGATAAGTTGTGGCTCCAACAAATAACAACAATATATACCTAGAAACAAAAGACAACACGGGCTAGAAAGTGGCGGAAAAAATGCAAAAAAAATGTAAATTAGGTTTTGTCTAGGTACCCACGCGGCTCTCCACCGCAGTTCGGACTAACTAGACCACAGTTCAACAAGCCTTTTATCAAAACAAGGCCACAAATAAAAACACACGAAAGAAAATTAGACACAACGAAATATGCGGCAAGAAAAAAGCTACAAAGAAAAACAACAAGAGGATATGAGCAAAGGCAGCACGCGAGATAAGGCTAAGTAATGAGTGAGGCAATGATTGCGGAATCGGGCGGAGCCATATCGAGATCAATGGAGCTTGGCGCGCAGTTCGCGCACTCGCAGATCACCGAGGCAAACACAATGAATTTTCCAACTACGGATCTACATATCTATCAATGGATGAAAAAAAAAAGGAACAACAAAACACTACGAGCAAAAAAGAACAAAAAAAACTACACAGCAAACAATGCTAGTAGCCTACACTTCAAACTCAGTAAGCAAATGCCTATCCTACAGGGAAATGACAATACGTTCACATCTCCCCCCCCCCCCTACAACGAGTGGCGCCCCGACACTCAATATGGATAGAAACGTCCGCGGCTATGTCCTGGGTAGCTGTGGTAAGGTGCAAATGGTCGATGATGATATTTGTAATCTTCTCGTCTCTAGTCGAAGTATCCTGCCGGGCGTCCGAATCCTCGCTCCTGTTGATTGGGCGGTCCATCTTGTCTGTGTCGATGATCACTGAAGTGACGCTGCTGGGATGTGCTGTGACGTCTGCGTTCGCGATGCTTCTCTATTTTTTCGACTGGGTCCATAGCGACATCTCCTTTGACATACTCGACTAAGGTGCTGATGAAGTCCCATACTACTTACTGCCTCTGGATATCCTGACAATTCACGAGGACGGGGCCTTATGCCTACTGCAAGCGCAGGCTCGGCAGCACTCGGTGTTTGAGGTATCTTCGTGACGACATTAATACGGCTTGCGTAAGAGCGGCTTCACGAATGGTATTCATCATTTCAATTGTCTTCAATCGCGTAGCTTCCCATTCTGGATCTCCGCGTGGTGGTGCTAATGCTATCAACTTCCCTCCCGCTCGCACTGCGTTCGTAAAAGCCATTGTTAAGTGCATCCATTGACCCTCAGGGGGTAGTTCCTTTTCCGTTGGTCCAACAAAGATGAGGTTATACGGTTCCTGCAGTTGCTTTAGCTTGACACAGATGTCTGGAAGTCCTTGGTATACAAAGGGTGTCGTCGATTCACTGAACCTTATCACATGCTTATGGTACGCGAAACCTTGAGGCAGTATCAGCATCGTACGTTCTTTCTTTTTCTCCACCTTGATATCAGTCCATGAATGCGACACAGCAAACTGTACTCCTTCATTGACGAGGGCATTCACTTGATCGATAGTTAATCCGCAATTCCCATCGTATCTCATCATCAGGCTGCTCCCGTCATGCCTCATCAAGTCACGCATTGTGTGAAGACAGTGTCTCTTGAAGAATACGTATGCCTTCTGTCGGACGTCGTGATAAACGTATGTTTTCGATCTTTCATGAGGAAATTCCTTTTATCTGGGTCTCTCTCCTGCTCGAATATTGAGATGTAGCGGGCCAGCGAGTAGATTGTTGTGATCGGCAGTCCAGCTATAACGGGATCGACACCTGGCACGACATCTCCAAAAAATTTCCCTAGCATGTCACATTCGAATTCATCTTCGCCTCTTCGACTAGTGCACTTGTGAAACAAAATTAGTGCCGAATTGTCCGCGTGTGACGACGAAGCTCTGAAACAAATAGCATTATTACGCGAAGATAATTGCTTTTTCCTACTCCATCTTTTTGTTTTGGTTACTAGGGGCGTATCATCTATTTCTTGCGGGACTTTTATCAACATATCATAGTCTACCCTAATTGGTTCGTCATTAGTACTGATACGTGACAAGAGTGCTGATTCCCGGTTCGTCCCCCAAGTAGCGGAAAAAGTGCAAAAAAAAATAGTAAATTTGGTTTTGTCTAGGTACCCACGCGGCTCTCCACCGCAGTTCGGACTAACTAGACCACAGTTCAACAAGCCTTTTATCAAAACAAGGCCACAAATAAAAACACACGAAAGAAATTAGACACAACGAAATATGCGGCAAGAAAAAAAACTACAAAGAAAAACAACAAGAGGATCTGAGCAAAGGCAGCACGCGAGATAAGGCTAAGTAATGAGTGAGGCAACGATTGCGAAATCGGGCGGAGCCATAACGAGATCAATGGAACTTGGCGCGCATTTCGCGCACTCGCAGATCACCGAGGCAAACACAATGAATTTACCAACTACGGATCTACATATCTATCAATGGATGAAAAAAAGGTAACAACAAAACACTACGAGCAAAAAAGAACAAAAAAACACTACACAGCAGACAGTGCTAGTAGCCTACACTTCAAACTCAGTAAGCAAATGCCTAGCCTACAGGAAAATGACAATACGTTCACAAGAATGTTACAAAACAGGCATATGCAATGATAGGAGGAATTAACAAATACGAACATACCAAAGAAAAACTACGTGGCGGTTGAAATTTTGTAGCACTTCTCACCCCATTATTTGAAAGCGATATAGCGATAAAGCCCAATTTTTAGCAAGGACTGATAAAGAACATTACTTTGTTATGAGTGTAAAAAACTGACTTCTTTCACTTTTGCTAAGTCAATCATGTTTGAAATTCACGTTTCTTAGGCGTCGAGAAACATTAGAAAATGGGTGATGATTTGTAGAGCTCATAGAAGTAATTTGGCATGCTGATTACGGAAATCATACCCATTTTACACAAAAAGCTTCTTTGGTGACCTTACGGTTGCGTAAGGTAGAAGAATAGGAATTTAGCTGAGACTTCGTTAGTGAGTTAATCAGCATGCTGTTCACGAAAAGGGCCGGGCATACATCCCGCGATTTTATCGCCTGGCGATTCTTCGCAAGACAAGTGTTAAAAGTCCATTGCATGCTGACCATTTTGCCATTCGGTTGTGATAGTTATTCGGCGTGACTAATCGCTGACTATTTTTTCCGGGGCTACTTCCTTCAATGAAACCGTCGCGATTTGAACGAATCTCAACGATATCGCGTCGCTGACTTCAAATGAGCGACGGGACCTAATCGCTTAGATTGGACTTCTTTTCTGAAAGTTCTTGTGATCGTTTCCTATTTGGGCTGTTTTCTTGTTTACTATTTCAAAAATAGTCCTATTTTGCCACAGTGCGTTGCTTCTCCGTGAATCGATCTTCTTGTATCCATTTATGGCGCTATCTGTGAACTAGATACAAAGTCGTGAATTTCGCTCAGACTCGGTCTAGGGGGGTTATTCGACCCTCTGGTACCGAATATAATGGTTATTTTGTGCGTTAGCGCCATTTTCTGAGGATACCGTGGGTATACGGTAGAGGATCAAAATCGCGGATTCGCTCTAAATTTGTTGTGGGGGGGGGGTTGCAATCTATGTCAACCGCAACAACAACTAGCTTTTTTCTCGGGTCAATTTAGATACAGAAAAGTCCGGTAAAGACTTCATCATGCGAAATGAACCATATTCGTGATCAGAACTTCAAATGACTTCACTGCGCATCAGGCACGTCTATGACATCGACACCTAACATATACTCACCGCAACTCCGCGTGTATGTGTCAAACGATGCGAGTATGATTTTTTGGTCAGCGTGTTGAATAACTTCTCTAGATGGCCAGCCACAGCTATGGTTTTGTTCCCTTACGTGTTCCTACCGTAACCCCAGCAAATGTAGTTTTACCAAGCACAATGATTATGATATTCGGTTTCAGTAAGTCGAGTAGCTCGTTGAACCGAGTCTGAGCAAAATCCACGACATGAGGCTCAGACACTGAAGAGTCAAGCTTTGATGTTATCCTGCGGTTTGGAATTGTTTCTGGACTAGAAAATGAAAACGAAACTGAGAAAATCAAGCCGAATGTAATACAAATACTTATAAGTAGTTCGAGAAGGTATATTATGTGCTCAAGTATGAGGATGCATGAATCGCCGCAAAAATATGCCCATGAACAAGCAACTAGCGATTTAGTCGCCGCAATTTCGTGGCTACTTGCAGCAAATCGCAACGACCAGAAATCGCGACGATGAAATCGCGTGATGTATGCCCGGCCCTAAACTCATTCCTCTGTTAAAGTTGTGAGATTCACGGTTGAGCGCTTTTCTTTTTCACCTTACTCGGTCGCAGGTTTTTGAACAAATTCGCTTTTTGATTACATCCCCCCCCCCCGATACGACCGTCAGGTCGGGCGTGGCTGACCCCACGCTCAAGTCTGGTTTTGACAATGCTTAACCATGTTAGAACGTGTCAGGTAGTCAAGGAAGTAATCTCTGGATGCGCGTGGCTTGATAACTTCCGGTGGATCGCAAAACTCTTGCGTACTCTCCAGATGCAGTGCACGAGGTTTATCAAAAATGACATCGCCTTTTTGTTCAACGAATATTACACTGCTATGATTTTTTAATTACACTGCTTTGATTTTTTATTGACCGTGATTTTCAGAATATTTCAACCATTGCGTCGGAAAAGATAGATCTTTTGGCAAATGCAATAGAAGCCATCCGTCTGATTGCTGTAATCAAAAAGCCCTCAGTGAGTAAAACAGCTCATACAATAACGCAAACACCTATTTAGCGACTACTCGAGCTCACAATGGCAAATGTAGTATAGATCACGTTTCAAAATGCTCGTTTACGCTAAAGCAGTGAAGGTTTATTTTGTGCTGTTTCGCTCCAGCGACTCGCGACGAAAAGCCGATGTTAAGAACTTTGCTAGTTCTTGAGGTCTGGATTATCTGAATTATGAAAAAAAGCATTACGGTAAAGAGCGAGCTTCATATTTGGAAACAGCGACCCTGATTAGCTTGCTATAAGACTCAGCTTTTTTAGTCCTTTTCTAGAGATAATATGTGACCCTCAATGACGCGAACTCTCTTCAAAGTTCCATCCGTATTCCCACAGAAAAAAAAAGAACGGTAATTCGCTCCATATCGTGAAGCTAAGGCAGCCGCTATACTTCTCGAGGAGTATAGAATGGCGGTCGATCGCCAATCGCTACGACTGGCGATCGCCTGTCGCCGATCTTAGCTACTGGCGATCGCCAGTCGCTAATATCGGCGACTGCAATTTACATACCTATTGATCGCAAACAAGTTACCACACGTCAAATCGATACATGTCAAACGTGTAGTTACCGAAAACTGGCGATCGCCAATCATTACGATAAGCATCGCCAATATCGGTGCCAAAAATGACCGTTTTTACACGTATTTGATGCGTATTGGTCGTCGACTCAATGGCAAGAGGGTTATCAACAATTAAATGGTAGGCACCCTGTATAGTATAGACCGACCACTCCAACTGTCGCATCTATAGATGCGATAGTTGGAGTTAAGTAAGTAAAGTAAGTTTAAGTTAAGTAAGTTAAGTAAAGTTTTGAAGTTAGTTTTTTTTTTCAAGTTTTTTAAAGTTTCAAGTTAGGTAAGTTCCGATTTTCAACGTTTTCATTTTTGCGATAGTGAACAAAAGTGAGTGAGTTCCTGCGGAACTTCTGCAAATTTGATTTGTCCTGCGGAAGTTCCGGTGATTTGTCTGAGTAGTATCACAATCATGATTTTCATCGTCTTCATTTGCATTAGTATTAACGAAATTGCTGCTGAATCAAGGCAGCATCAAATCATGCGTAACTGAAGGGGTGTTTAGCCCGGTCGATTCGTGCATTCAACTATAGCTTTGCGCTCAGCTCATCGAGGCAAATTTTCTACATTGCAATGCTGTAAGCCAGCGAGGTACGGCAGGTATACTATAGTCGATTTGCTTATATTGCGCCGCGATCCGTACATACAGAATCACCGTGAAGTATGGTCGTTTCAATAGCCACTGCCCAACCGGCAGCCAGATAGTGCTTCAACAGCTGAGATATTCCCCTCGAAGCTGGACCCCAGGATCCTATCTCGCGCGAATTCATGGCGCAACTTATTTTCGCATTTGTTCTCGGAAACTGATGGGTTGCTCCATGAATCCATGCAAAATACGACGATCTAGGGTGCCCTTTCGAGGGCAATATCTCAGCCGAAAGAGCACTACCTGAGCTGCCGGTTGGACAGTGACTTAGTTAGGGCCCTAAAACTATCCACGTGAGATCTCCAAATGTTCACATTTGCTTGGACGCCGTTTTCAAGATTCAATGCTGTTGAGTGCCCATCTTTCGCACTTTTCTGTAGTAAAATTGAACAATTTCGAGAATATCGACGCAAGAAGGCTGAGCCTCTAAGGCAACGAATCAAAGAAAAAAGCGTTGTGGAAGGCAAGAAACAAAACAAAAAACGAAGACGCGAGAAAAACGTTGGCGTAATTTCTAATTAGTCGTCTGCCTCAGTGTGCAACCGCGGAAGGGACGTAGGGGTTCCTAGCACCTCCCTTCGCACCAACATTCAAACTCCAGAAGGCTCCTCGCACCTTCAACGGAGGTCAAAGCGCCCCCCGCGCCACTCCTTCACTGGTCTCCTTCGAAGGCTGCGGGCTGAGGGAATAGCATAGGCATGCAACGAAAATTCATGAAAAATCGTCATCTTACGAGGCTAATCTCCTCATTATTGCACTTTAAAAGCAAAGACACCTTGAAACCCTAAAGAAAACTTACAGGATTCTAGGTAAGCAGTGAATATATTTTTGGATCAAAACTGTTGTGTTAAGAAAATGCGTTGATAAGTTGATCTTCACTTTCAAAGGATTTTTTATTTCTGCATTACCTAGATTAAAGCTTGCCAAAAGTGCGGAGCACTGCTATGAACGTTTCAACGATTTCTTGAGGATAATCATCATTTTGATGCTACCACTTTGGCACTATTTACAACCAGACTCAATAGAAATTTGCAGTGCAATCTTTGAAAGCTTATTTCTCTGAGGTGCCAACAAAAAGATGAATTGTGATGACTGTATTAAAGCGCAAAACCCACTTCTTTTCCTAAAGAAGCCACGAACTTAGGTTCAAATCTTGGTAAGTTATGAATTTTTCTTTGACTTAGGTGAGAACTTTTGCAACGACCTATACAGGGTGTCCCAAAAAAATGTTAACACTGTTTGATCATTAGTAACTCCCTTGCTTTCATGTCTTTCGCCAAGCTTGAGGCACCATTGTGTAGAGCGAGGATCAACTTAGATTTGTAGTATGTAGCGAAACACCGTTTGCTCTTCGTTACTGTAGGATTACGGTAAGAACTTCCAGCATGTGGAACCGTTGTGAAATATGCCATCTGACAAAATTTTTTTCAAAAAATCCGAAAAATTGTACACTAGGGTTTTCGCGCACGCTGATTTTACTACACAACTTTCTACGAGTGTTTTCGGCTTTTTGACGGGGTAACCACATTTTTGACACATGCTGGGAAGTCAGTTATTACAGCTTACCTAGGATAACTTTGAAAAGAAGCATCATAGTAAAGTGAGAATTTCATATTCGGAATCAGCAGCTTCCATTACCATAGCACAAAAGATTTTGGCTTGTTTGGCTCTGTTTCGAGGCAGAAAATGACCTTTGACGGCCTAAAATCCTTGTCGAATTTCCTACCGTAATCCTACAGTAACGAAGAGGAAACGGTGTTTCGCTCCATACTATGAATCTAAGTTGATCCTCGCTCTACACAATGGTGCCTCAAGCTCGGCGAAAGACATGAAAGCACGAGAGTTATTAACGATCAAACAGTGTTAACATTTTTTTGGGACACCCTGTATAGTAGGTCAGAATCGCTTTGGCATGCTAACAGTAAATTTACAAAATTTCAGCGGATATTTAGCTAAAATTTATTGCAAAAAGTATCAACAGACTTCTCCAGGAAAAATCTTCCTTCTCATTCATTACCATGAAAAGCACCAGAACATGAATTCAAAAAAGGAAATTTCAATATTGAAAACTCATTCAAACTCTATGAAAAAGTTGTTTAAAATGATGAGAAGCTCAAATCAATTATTCGGTTAATAAGTCAAGATCTAGCTTCAAAACTGTTCTAAACCGCAACAAGTCAAATTTCGCTTATTCTGTATAGATTCTGTGGTTTTATTCTATGGAGCACAAAGCTCTACAAGGTAATGTTTTTGAAAGTTGCATAAATTTGGTAGCCAAAAAACTAGAAAAATCCAACTGTTCGAAAAATCCGAAAAAATTAGAAACTCCATCAAAAAATGCACTTGTGCAACTTGCTCAATGGATATGTTTCACATCAGAGGTACCTGTATACACAATACTTCTCACTTGTCGCCTTCCATCTATCATTATTCATCCATTTAGCAGAACACATTGGGACTATTCTCCAAGCCTGCACAATTGGGAATAAGATTAGCTAGTGGGCGGGGCAAGTGGGCGGAGCCGTCTGAAAGGTGCGAAGGCCCCTTGGAAGTGCTAACTACCCCTGCAAGGAAAGGCGGCGAGGCTTTGGGAACTCCTGGGCCGCCGCGTGCACCGCGGCACAAGCGGGCCCGCTGGTCACATCCGGGATTTCAAAGTTTTGTGCATAACACACGGCATAGCGAGATGACTAGAGTAATGACGTCTATCATACAACTTCCAGCTCTTCAGGCACAATTTGGCAAAGAATTGTGAAAGTCTCATGCTACTTGTTCCTCTGTGCCAACTCCCAGCCCCTAGCTCAGGGACCCGCCATACTTCGCAGAAAAAGCCCAAGAAAGCCGGAAAAAGCCCGAAAGAGCCAGAACGCAGAAACGAACTTTTGGTAGAATGCTGACATTATTTTGATGTGCAGGCGACAAAAAATGAAGCAAAAGGACTCGGTTGCGAAGTAACACAAATGTCTTAGCGTCAAAACGGAAGGGACGTTTCTGCTTTTTCGGGCTTTTTTGGGCTTTTTAGGCTTTTTCGGGCTTTTTTGGGCCTTTTTGGCTTTTTTGGGCTTTTTTGGCGAAGTATGACGGGTCCCTCAAAGTTTGCAAAAAAAAACGACAATCGATAATTCTGGAAGTTGATAATGCATATGTAATCAGCATATTCACTTACACCCTCCCTGTAGAGACTCCCAGGCCCGTAGTAAACCCCTCGTGGTTGTCACAACATAGAGGGACTATGTCGTGATAGCTCGGAGTATCTCGCAAGACTATAGCGAGCTATCCGCAGGGCGCCGCAAAACGAGCGTCTCCGCGTGCCATCGAACCACTGATGACCGCGATAACAGCGCGCATTCGCGCTGCGCTATAGGTAGCCATGTGCTATAGAGCATTTGCAAACAAGGCAAGACTGCGCAAGGCTTTTCTTGCGAGAGTAGGTAAATCAATCAGAGGAAATCCAATAACAGACCATCCTTGCGTGAGCGCGCCTATTTCTCCATTTTTAATTCTGTATCTTATGTTTGCATGCATTGATAATAGGGTAACGCAGTTGATCTCCGTCTGTTACAGAATAATGCTTATTTTTGCGCACCGTGCTGTAAGAAGGAGCGCCAATATCCGCTACGGGAGGCTGCACCCTATCCGACTTTTCCATCAAAACCAGCGGATATTGGCGCGGAAGTTTCGAATGGAAGAGCAGCATTTGAAGAGAATATGCCGACTGCTTGCACCGCTGATAGGAGGGCGTGAAACTCCAAACTGGTCCGTTAGTTTGGAGAACAAGGTCAGTACGATTTTCCAAGATTTATTCATCTATGGTTTGTGTTACTGAAATGTTAATGTTATGCACATACGCGTATGACGTAATTATCTCGCACGCATGACTCAAACATGCAGAAGATTCCTATGATACACGTGTCTGTTAGCGCAGTGCGTGCGAGCGGGGGTTTGTCGGGGTATCTTAGGGGATCAAATCCTGCACGGGGAAAATTTTTGCAAACAACCAGAGATATGTCTGAGTAGATGTTCAGCATGTTAGCTTTAAGAAAGGCTTCTTAACTTAATATAAAACTAAATGTCTCCTCATTTAGGTTGTCATTGCTCTTCGTTACTTGTCAACCAACGCCCACCAAGAGGTTTTGGCGGACACCATTGGTGTCAGCCAGAAAACAGTTTCGAATGCGGTGAGAGTGGTTGTCCGCGCTCTCAACCACCCCCTAATCGTGCGGCACTTCATCCGCTGCCGATTAGGGGACGAGCAGTTCTGCCGAATGAATGCCGACGCCTTCGCCCGAACCGGAGCATTTCCGAACATCATCGGAGCCGTTGACGGAAGCTGCATACGGTTACAGAAGCCGGCACATTCTGGCTGGCAGTACTACTGCCGCAAGGGCTTCACAGCCCTGAATGTGCTGGCTGCTGTTGACGCCCGCGGACGGTTTATGTACATAAATGCGAACTTCCCGGGGTCTGTTCATGATGCCAGTATCTTCGCCTCTTCGCAGTTAAAGTACGCCTACGAGGAGAATGTATTCCACATGGCTATAGCTTTCTTGGAGACTCCGGATTCGCGAATGGGAACGACGTTATCACTCCCATTAGGAATCCGACGACCAGGCAGGAAGTCTCCTACAACCGATGGCATTCGAAGATGCGAGTCATCGTCGAGTGCACATTCGGTCGATGGAAGCGGAAGTTCGCAATCTTGAAGGATATGATCCGTGTGGCCCCGAAGCGTGCAGCTAAAATCATTATAGCATGCGCAGTGCTGTACAACATGATGATGGCCATGGGATGTCTACGCCCAAGGGGGCTTGGGCGTAGACTAGTATGCCATCATCCGCCAGAAGATTGCGCAGACATTCGTGGTTACTTAGTGAGTTGTATATAATTATTCTGTTTGATCCATAATTTGCATTGTGTTTGTTTCAACTGAGTTTGTTTATGTAGGACATTTCCTGCTGTGAAGTTTATTAAAGTATCAGATTGCCGTGACATCACAGACAACATTAGTATATCCGAATCACTCAAATGAATCACGGTGAGATTTTGATTACGTGCCAGACCGTGCCAGCTTCGTGCCAGCTTCGTGCCAGCTCCAGCATGATGGCATGCTGCAGCATTATCAGTAGCGTCATTCCGTGCCAGACCGTGCCAGGTCCGTGCCAGCTGTGTTCTGAGAGGGGCAATGCAATGCCTTCATCTGCGAGGTACCCTCAAAGCCGGAGTCTCTCCAGGTGGTGGTTTCGGCTATTTTTGACTTGAAAGTCATCAAACGGAGAGTTTTTGAGCAGGGAAATACTATTCGTAAGATGGGAACATATAGATCGACATGGACCGTCTCTTTCTTTCACCTCTTCTGTGAGTTTAGATACGAAGTGAAACTGTCTGCAGAACTAGTGATTTGGGATCAGTTTGGGTTAGACTTCCGAAACGAAGGAAAGCTAGCGAAAAACGGTCTAGGCTTATTGGCAAACTCTCGTGTGTTGTATAAGAATTAGAGAACCCGATATATTTATTCATTTTTCAAGTGAAAACAATTATGAGATCGTGAGATTCGCTTTAGTGAAAAATGTCCAATGCTCTAATCTCGGGAAAGATCCATTAATAACAACACAAACAATGCATGATTGAACAATCAACAATCAACAGTTATATATAAACAATGAACTATCAAAAATCAGCTTCCAACAATCAACAACGCAAGTCTGATTTAAGAAACAACAACAATATCATTGAGAAAACTATGAAAATGATAAAGATTTGTGGGACAAAGCCAGGTTGGGATCCCCATCAGTGGGATCCCAACTTGGCTTTGTCCCAGGTACAATCCCGTTCCTCCTTCCGTCGATCTTCTCAAGCAGGCACCGCGTGAGCTCAAGTTGGTGATTGAGGAGGGAGACGAGTGTGTCCATGGCAACCGATATCTTGGTGAAAATTGCTCTTTCTTCCTGAAAAATAGCTATATTTCTCAGTCAGAGCAATGATGCACCCATTTACCTTTAAAAGCTCCATCTGTAGCCGACACACTTCTGTTTCCGAGGAACGACGTCTTTTTTCGGGCGGGCTGCTTGAATCGGAGTCGAACTGAAAAAAAATATGCCAAGGGAAATGACGGTGAATAAATTTTGACTAACATCACTAAGTTGCCTCAGAATCCTTTTTCTTCTTATTTCTTCCAACTCATCCGGCGTTATTAATGGGGGAGAATTTCGCCCTCCCTCCCTCCCGCCGTCCTCCTCCTTCGAGAAGACCCGCCCACTAACTCTCCGCCTGCTCCGCCCTATTTCGCCCTCTTCAAGAGAGCTATCGCTCAAATCGCAGATAGACTGAAAAATGTGGTTGAAATATGGTATGGAATAAAAACTGATACTTCCTACCTTAGGGCGCTGTGTGAGTAGTTTCCCTCCATCCCTCCCACCAACCCACTCCTGCCTCGAAGCCCTCCCACCAACCCGCCTACCGTCCATATTCCCTATACTTTCTGGGGATGATCCACTATCATCCTTACTAGTCTGTAATACAATAATACAGTCTGTAATACAGCTCCGCCCCCGCCCTAAGACTTACCTTATCGACATAACTCTCAAATTTTCCCAAACCCGCCATTACAGCTTCGCGTCCCAAAGCCCTGGCAAGTTCAGCTTCACCCTCCGTGAACGAAGCTGCAGCTTTCGAAATCGATTTTTCCAAATCCAAGTCTATGCCTCCGCCAGTAGCTTCACGGTACCTGAAAAGGCATAATGAAGCCTATTGCTCTTTAACTAAGCTGTGAACTTACCTCCTTTCTCTGAGCAGCATTTCTCTAACGTGTGTCTTCTTGTTTCTCCATACTCGTTTGATTTGAGGTATCGTCATTAATTTTTTACACTTTAATAGTACTGCATCAGCCACTTCCTTCCATGCCCGTTGTTTTCGGGCATTCGCGTCCGGATTTCGGGATCCGGACAAGTCCAGAATGACGTCCTTTCTGCGCAGTGTCTCAAACACTATTACCTCATCGTAGGTCCTAGCTGCATCCATTTTAGCAGGTGTACGCTGAATCATTTCGGTTTGTGTAGGCTTTATCTATCTTACAACAATGATTGTGTCTCTTACATTTTCAAATCAACTTTTTGACAGGGTTCCACTGAATTGTCCAGCAAAAGCCGCCACAGTATCCTTTGATATTACTCTTTTCCTAAAAACGCTCGAGGAATTATATGTATGATTTTGGACATTTTTTGCTTGCCCAGGCCTACTCGCTATGCTGAGTCCGAAATTCCAGACTAGAGAACGCGGAAACGGCGAAAAAAATTTTTTCATTTTTTCTTTCTTTCAATCATTTTGAACTCCTACGTATCGAAATTCTTTTTCTTCAGATATATAATCATGGCCTAGGAGCTTCCTTGAACCGTGCCATGGTGCTCGCATTGGAGGTCCAAAAGACATTCACTAACGGCGTTTCTTTGAATATAACGACCTCCACAGTAAATGGCTCCCATGGCGTACGCGGTAACGGTACTTTTGAAAAGAAAAGAAAAAAGACGAAATGGGGGACATGCTCAACACACCGATAGACCCCTAGGCAGGTTAATTGATATTCTTATCTGGGATCTGCCCAGATAATCCATCACAGAATGTGTAACAGATGAGTCATGGAAGCTCAAAAATATGAAAATCTAGCTCCGGGTGAATTTTTACCTGCAACTGACGCAATCGCTTTTCTTCCTCAGCCCTTCTGGCCCGTTCTTGTTCCTCTTGACGATGTTGTCGTAGAAGTCGTTCACGTTCCTCGGCCTCTCGTCGTCGGATCTGCTCGAGGCGTTCTCGCTCGGCTCGTTCACGCTCGAACAGACGTCGAAGTCGTTCCTGCTCTTCTCGAATTAGAAGATTCTCTTCTTCTCGAGCTCGACGTTCGATTTGTTCACGTTCACGCGCTTTCTCGTATCGTAACTGTTGCTGTAGATACTGTAACAAAAGAATTCTCAAAAATTCAGGAAAGTTCCGGGAAACCCTCTCGCCCTCGAGCTGTCAAGCGTCAATTCACATAAAAAAAGTTTTGCGATGAGACTGTTCCACTATCAATGAATTCAACGATACTGATAAATTTATTCTTATATATCACATTTCAATGCGTATTTATATACAAACTTAACAAATACCCGTATCAACTCTATCCTAGGCGAGAAAATCAAATATATAAACATTTAAGATGGGCAGACTCTGGCCAGGGGCACCCGGATGACTGAGGTGAGGCGATGATAAGATGCTGTATGACGAACAATCATAATATCAGGAAAAATTAAAAAGGGATGCATAGACATTAAGGAGTTCAAGCATCTGCTAATTCTTGAAAATTTGATTATCACAATCATATTTAGGCTATTTGGGTGTTGGGATTGCTCACAACAGCACAGTAAGTGAAAAGAACATAAAAATAAAGGTGGAAAAGAGTGGCAGTGACATAGCTGAAGCTTCTAAGGGTAATTCAATAATTTCTCCACCAGGGAACCGCTCGATAACGTTTTGGTCGAGAATTTTCGAATGCGTCACGAAATTGGTCGACAAAGTCTTGCCCATACCCCGATTTGTGATAGGCTGTATTTGCAGTGTATACATCGTGGATGGTACCAAGTTCTCATAATGCACCTGAAAATACGGTATATAATTGCTTGCTTAACAAATGGAATGTATATTTTACCTCTCTCGTTTGTGGAGGTAGAATTGTGATATTCGTGTCATCACGAACAGGTGACGATAGTGCAGCCCGGTACCAAAAGTTCATAAATGGCTGAGTTAAGAATACTCAAACTATTATTCTTCTAGCACAAATAAATCGTATATAATTATAGAATTAAAGGGCTTGATAACTAAAACTAACTCGAAGCTCTCCATCAAAGTACGGCGTTTGTACATCCACATTGTCGTCGGTGGTCTCGTCTTCGTCCTCGTCAGTAGTTGTCGGCACTGCCAAATCAAAGCCGGTTTGATCTAAAATAAGCATAACTAAGCTCGGTTGTTATGAACTGAGGGGTTATGACAGGCCGATAGGTGGGTCCTGAACGATTTCTGATGCGGTGGCGTTTAACGTTCTGACTTTCACGTGGGCTTTCACACTAATTAGGTGCATTAATTTTGTGGTATAGATGGTTTTTTGATTTCTTTCTAAATGCGCAGCGATTTGCTGTAAAATCAAGAAATTCACCTCAACGATATAGACGGAGTTTGGAAACAGTCCTGACAATTCCGACTGAGTGGTGTGGCTTGGCACAATTACAGAATGCCTATCCCTGCAAACAATATTATACTTTAACAAATCCTACAAACACTAGAGAAACAAAAGGGAACGGAAACGTACCGTCCGTCGATGCCCCACGCCTCTTCTTCCTCGTCAAGACTTCGCTTTTCATGTGTCGTAAGTGTGGCGCGACGTCGCATCATCTCCTCGAACGCATTTGCTTCAGAAGGTGAGGACACAGCCCAGGATAGCTGTAAAAATAACTTGCATGCTTCAAGACTGAGATCTATCCTATGCTAGATAGCTACCTGATAACTCTTGATGGGTAAATCGCTTGTGGTTGGAGTCCACTGCAATATTTGATTCCATAAACCTATAGGAGTGAGACGGGAAGCCCCCAGAGAGATGTCACGAGGTGGTGAAGGTGCGCGGGCTTCTAAAACAGTGGTGCTGTGGAATTTATGAAGTTGAATACACTCAACTCAAGAAAGTATAAACCAAGAACTGAATACAGTAGATATCATGATCTGTATATGCTGGGCAGTAAAAAAGCTGAACTTGAGTTGTGCTTACCTTTGGAGAGCTTGAAAGGCTGTGACGGTTGGCTGAATCCAAGGCTGCCATGGATGCTCACAGCTCCTACGCGGAACTCATAGTACCGTCCAGGTGAGAGCAGATGTTTCAATATTGCGTATGGCTTGTTTCTCTGCAAAAGATTTCTTGACACAATATCACTCACACCAAACTTGGATTCAATATTCACCACAGTGACCGTTTGCCATTCGGTCATACTTTCGCCTTCAGGATGTAGACCCCACCGCCATTGCACCACATAAAGGTTTGAATTGGCAGCATTTTGCTCCCGAGTGAGCTTTTGCATCACCCAGCGTATGATAATTGAGCTGAAGTTGTAAAAATAATGTCATTCAAAAATCAAAGAGTAAGCAGGACTTACCGTTTCCTCTTCCGTTCTTGGACAGAGATGGAGCCCGGTATTGGCAACAATCGCGGATCTCTTCCTTTTGGCAAGACACACTGCCTGCTGTGCAGCCATAAGTACAGCACTTTTCGGTTTCAGGACAATCACCATCCAGGTGACAGAGCGCGGTACATTCCTGTAAAATAACGATTAAATGAGAATTGAAACTGTTTGTAGACCTACATAATCTTGGATTGGTTTTTGTCGGACAAGCTCCAGGCTCCAGGATCTCAACAAGGTCAATGAAGTAATCAAAACTTTAATCGCAAACATGTACGCGTTGATGATATGAGAATGCGATGGTATTAACGTCTTTCTAGTCCTTCCAGTACATATAACGGAAGCTCCGAAGATACCCTACCGAAAGTACGCTAATAAGAAGATTCCAGGAATGCGGTTTTCAGTTCCTCCTCTTTATCCCCCTCCGCGTCCTCCTACTATGCTTCCCCCCATGGGACCCATACTATTCCTGTGATTCCTGCAATTCCTGCGTTTCCTGTTTCTGCGGGTCCCGCAAGATGTATATTGCGAAAAAACAATGTATAATGGAATTTGCAAAGCACTCTGCAATGCGGCACATTGGAAGTCGGGAAATCACCGGAATTGCAGAAATACAAGAATCGCGGGAATCGGCTCCTGGAATAGTATGACCGATCACAACGGAAATGAAGTGATGCATAGACCAGAAAGTAAAGCAAAAATGATAAGTAAAGCTTAAGACATACAGATAAAGTGTCGCAATAACATTAAGAAGTAGAACTAAGAAATCCACTGCCTACCTTTAGCTGCGACTCCCATGCAATCGATTGATTTCCGATTCTTGCTTCCTACCGATATGGTGCACGTAAGCTGGCTCCTGTAAAAGCTGCAATAGCACTGTTTAGAGATGAATTACGACAGTAGCGAGAGTTACGACGACAATTACGAACAAGAATCGCAGCACATTGACATAATGGTATGAAATTTCACTAAAAATCTCATACAAAATGATACGGAGAACCGTTTCCAAGTCACCCTCGGACTGAAGATTACCCACACTACACAAAACTGCGAAAAAAACATAAACAAATGGCCTCCTACGACCTTCTCGTCTATTTCCGGCGTAACGTCATGCGTCACGCCGCGCAATCGGCGTGAGTGCACAAACAGGCGCCACCCGACGGCACAATGCTCCAAAGGACGTTAAAAGCTTATATGTGAATATTGTGGAGCAAGCTATGCACAAGCTGATAGAGCTTTTTTAGCCCCATCAGACTATGTAAAGCTTGCGCACCTTTTTGCTCTCCTCTAAAAATCAACCACAGTACGTCGAACAAAGTGATTATGTAATGAAAACTGCCACACTGCAGAAGACGAATTTTAGATTCATAAGCGACAATGATGATACACTGTAACTTTACATGAAGAAAAAAGAAAAAACGTACAGCACGCTACATGCAGAAGAACAAAAAATTGGGCTGGATAAGCGAGCTGTGCGCATGCACAATTGATTAGTTCTACTTTTTCCACTACGGTAGTGACGGCCGTCTGCATTGCGACCTATTACGAGGTTGGCGTAGTCGAGCTCTAGTCTTGCGCTATGTCTCTGCGTCTCCATACTGAACAAAGTATTTCGTCTTCTTGTACGTCACCACATGTCGCTAGATGTCGCGATATGTGGTGACACATAGCGACAAAGTGCGAGCACCCTGACGCCTTGCATTGATTGCATCCGGCGGCAATGGTAAAGGATAGCCGCTTTGCCTGCCTCGCAGCACATTAGTCAGCACATGTCACAGCAGGCTCCGAGCTATACGTCACGACAACCGGGGGGTTTACTACAGGCCCCAGCCACATAGCTCGAACTTTGCAAAATAGCTATAACATCTGCCCGGAGGGCGTGCAGGAGTTCCTAGCACCTTTCCTCGCACCAACCTCGCACCAGCATTCACACCCAGGAGGGTTCTAGCACCTTCGTGCCTTAGAGGTCAGGCTCCGCCCATTGCTCCACCCAATTATCGGTCTCATTGTGAGGTGTGCAAGCAGCGAGAACGTTAGATTAGATACTGAGGTAATGAGAGAGAAATGGAGAAAAAACGAAGAACATAGTTATCATTTCCCAGGTGAGGCGGCTTGGAAACCTCTGCTACGCCATCCTTTGAAAAGAACTTCTGAAAATTATTTTCAGAAAGGGAAAATTGCACAGAATTTTTGAAAAGAAAATTCAGTCATTCAAAATATTGGATGACCTAATAGATCAATTGCACATTAGCGGTCATCTGATTGGAGTAATTTAGCATCAGGAGTTTGAGAACCCGTTACGTTCTCGACATTAGAAGGACCGATTTCGAAACGAGTATACCAAAGTCTCCGAGTAAGCAACTGAACGCTTTCTCCAACAGTTAGGATATTAACGCATAAACTTTTCTATTTTCGTCTGCCACATATATTCATAAGTTTTTTCATTCCAGCTCTTCTAATGATCAATGAGATCCGAATTATCAAGGAAAATTTTCAAGTGTAGTATTTCCTACATCGACGTAGAATAGAAACCTTCGTCGACAATCGAAAAGTTAGCTAAGAGTTCCAAGTGCGACACTAAATTTGCAATATATGTAATTCGCTATATTCTTACTTAGATGATTACAACTTGCGTGAAATTGACTAATTTCTTTGTTATATACCGTATGGGAAGACTCATAACCTCTGCTTGATTCACATTATTATGATATGCTTCACAAATTTACTCAAGCGCGAGCACTTAAAAGTTTTTAAGGAAGCGTCATTTCAATCGAAAACATGAGTAAAACATAATCCGAAATGCTGGAATTCAGTGCAGTCATCTATACGGATTCTAAAACTAAAAGATGGAATTTTCTCTGTTTCTCAATTTCAGTTGATTTCAGTTCTATTATCCTCATGCTGTAAACATTGCAAAATGAGAGGACCTAAAGGGAGGAGTGATGGGCGGAGCCGTTGGCCCCGAGAAGGTGTGATGTCCTTCAAGGGATTTCTGGAGGTGTCAAGTACCCCTGCGAGGAGAAGCGGTCAGGCTTTGGGAACTCCTGCCACGCCGCCCATCTGCCCCCCCCCCCGTGAATGTATAATAGTAGTGTGGTGGTGTAAAGGTAGTCCGGTTAATGTGATTTCCTATTGGGAATACGTACGCGCACACAGACAGATACACAAACAAACAGACATTCAGCTTTACATATAAGATTTTTGATAACGCGGGCATCAGATCGCACCAACACTATAGTAAGGGGCGGCGTGGCAGGAGTTCCCAAAGCCTAGCCGCTTTTCCTCGCAGGGGTACTTCGCACTTCCAGAGGTCTCTTGAAGGATATCACACCTTCTCGGGGCCCGAGGACGGCTCCGCCCATCACTCCTCCTCCTAGGTGCCCTCATTTTGAAATGTGTATACGCAGTGTAAGACGTGCACTGTATTATGACACTGATATAATAGAACTGAAATCAAGAAACAGAAAAGAAAATTCTAGATTTCTATAAGGTTTCAGAATCCGTAAATGACTGCAGCTGAATCAGCATGCAGCGAGTTATGTTTCACTCATGTTTTTGGATAAAATGACGCTTCCTTGAGAACTTGTAAGTTTTCGAGCTTGAGTAAGTTTGTGAAGTATATCGTGTTAATAGAAATCAAGCAGAAGTTATGAGTCTTCCAATCACAGTACATAACAGAGAAGTTCGTCAAATTAACGCGAGTTTTCATTTAAGAATATAGCAAATTACCATTATCTTGCAAATTCAGTGTCGTATTTGGAACTCTTAGTCAACTCTTCGATTGTGGGGCAAAGGCTAGTATTATTAGGCTGGAAACTAAGTTTTGCAACTGCTTTCGTAACTCAACTCCCTTTGGATGTAGCGCACTCAAACTTGAGCGATGTGTACAGCGTAGCGTGGACTATAACTGACCGAAGTTGCTTGAATTTTGAAAACGAATTAAGAATTTTCCAGGCATTTTTCGAAAACTAGTAAATTTCGAGAATTTTTGGGTTTTTGAGGCAAAATGAAGTTGTTAGCAGTTTAGACCATGCCCAGTCATCCGTAATCGTGTGCTTTTTGTTGCTAGAAGTTGATTTATTCGGCTCATCCAAAAAAGAAATAAAATTTATGGCCAAGTCGAGATTTAGCGCCCTTTTAATTTCGAAGCAGTTGCTGTACGCAAGGCTGCTAAGGACAACAGTCAATGACTAAGGAGTTAGAACCACAAAATTCTCCGAGACTTTACATATCAAGGTTCTTTGACCTGCTAAATACGAATATCATATTTATTTGTTAAATCAGCGCCTCTTTCCTTGTTTAGGGTGAAACCCTATATCGTACACCCACAGTAACCTTATAAAAGGCCCTTATCGCGCAACTTCAGTATTGTTCTCGTGATCGGCATGTCGGATAACCCCCTTATGCCAAGTTTCAGCCGAATCTATCGAGTTTTATAATTTTTCCCTTCATACCATAGACTTACCGTAACCCTCACTGCGACGTCAGAATTTGGCAGAACAGCAGCTGCTCTTGTAGTTTACGTCATAGCCAACATAATGGCAAAATTTGAGTGCGCCATGTTGAGTGAGAGGAAAGTTAATTGAATGAGTTGCAAAACTTAGTTTCCAACCTAATAGTATATAGATTGTAGGAAATACTACCACTTAAAATTTTTTTTTGATAATTTGGATCTTATTGATCATTAGAGGAGTTGGAACAAAGACTCATTCGAATATATGATGCAGACAAAAGTAGAAAAGTATATGTGCTAAGATATCCTAACTGTTGGAGAAGGCGTTCAGTTGCGTATTCGGAAGCTTTCACAAACTCCTTCAAAAATAGGTCCTTCTAATGTTGAGAAGGCAACTGGGTTCTCAAACTTCTGATGCTAAATTAGCTCAATCAGGACCAGTTATGTACAATCGATCGACTAGGTCCTTTAATATTGCGAATGACCGGGTTTTTTACTCAAAAAATTCCATGCGATTTTTTTCTGAAAATAATGCAAATGCTCTTTTAAGAGGATTGCATAGCAGAAGTTTCCAAGCCGTCTCACTTGAGAAATGAATATGTTCTTCGTTTCTTCTCCATTTCTCTTCATTACCTTGATACCTGAATCCATGTTCTCGCTGCTTGCACACCTCACAATGAGACCAGTAATTGGGTGGAGCGAGGGGCCTAACCCCTGAGGCAGGAAGGTGCTAGAACCCTTCTGGGTGCGAATGCTGGTGCGAAGTTGGTGCGAGGAAAGGTGCTAGAAACTCCTGCACGCCCTCCTAGTAAGGTCAGATCACCTGAGTGTATAAGGATGAAATATTCTGTTGTATCTTTTCAACGTCTTCGCACCTACACCCATTAGAGCTGCAGCATTTGCTTGAAGGATCATTTTTTCTTTTGGATTTTTACAACTGCATTGTAGATGTATCTCACAAATCCCGAGTCGAATTTGCATTTTTTTCACGTAAGAAGTTGGTTAGCATGCGGTTGCAGTATAGCTCCAGCTTTAAAGTATTTGAGATACTTCATGTTTACAGATTTATCAAGCCTTTTGTTAAAGATTTGAGCATCTAAATTACCATTAGTGTTTTCAGATGAATACCTTGCCGAATTAAATGCGAACGATATGGAAGCCTGCGGTAAAAATAAAGTGGTGAGAAGCTTAATGCATTTAAAATAAAACAAGTCACTGTTGCAGCTATTTAAAAAAGCAAGCCTATTTTTAGACTTCTTAACAGCTCGGTCTAAAAGCTTTGCCGCTCTAAGAATTACATGATTCGTTTGTGCGACTGGCTTGCAAATAAAAAGAGTATTCTGTGGTCGTTTTTGCAGAAACCCGATGATCACTTTTCCAACTGCAGCGATGTTCGCATAATAAACGATGTGCG